CACCTTTGTAAGGCTGGCTCCTTCTTGCCACTTGGGATGCTACATCAGGACTTGGCCAGATGCCACCTTCTTCCAAAGGCCTCCCTTAATCCAGGCTCTCCTACCATCCTATTGAAACTTCTTTTTTAATAAACATAATCATCATTATTATTATCATTATTGGTTTTTCAAGACAGGGTTTCTCTGTGTAGCTTTGGAGGCTGTCCTGGAACTCACTCTGTAGACCAGGCTGGCCTTGAACTCACAGGGATCCGCCTGCCTCTGCCTCCCGAGTGCTGGGATTAAAGGCGTGCGCCACCAACGCCCGGTTAAGGAACTTGTTTTAGGTTCACAGTTGAACTGAGTTGGTACGGAGAACTCCCACACATCCCCTGACGCCAGCGGCAGAGCCTTCCTGTCACCACTGTCCTTTGCTGGACCCCACTGATAGTCCTGCAGCCACATGCCATTACCACCAGAGGCCCCAGTACAGCAGGAATCACACTTGGTGTTGCTGGGTCTGAAAATTCTGTAATGATGTGAGCCCACGAGTACGGTCTGATACGGATTTATGTCTGGCACCTCCTGGCACCTTCTGATCTTACAGACGGTGTATCTTGCCTTTTTTCAGAATGACATTACAGTTGGAATCACTCACTTTGTAATATCCACCCAAGCGGCTTCTCTGACTTTTCATGGCTTGGGAGTTCATTTCTGTTCAGCACTGAACAATGTTCCAGCACCCTCATGTGTCACAGTTAATTGATTCGTTTGCCTGCGGGAAGGCACCCACACTTCTGCGCCTGCTCAATGGAGCTGCTGCAGCGTGTGTGGGTGGATGGTGTTTTCATCCTCGGACATAAGCCTTCTGATCATCTCATTTTGGTCCTTTCCAATTCATTTTCTGTTATCCTCTTGGAAATGTGGGGTATGTGAGTGGATAAACCTTGTTTGCACCCACATGAGTTCCCTAGCTCAGTGCCTGCACCAGGTGGGCTGCAGCATGGACGAATGTCTGCTCCCTGCTCCCTGCCGCCTGAAAGCCTGTGACAGCCACTGCTCAGGGGACCAGAGCCACCAGCTGAGCCATATCTCCAGGCTGCCTGTCTTTCTCAGTCACTTCAGACATATTGTACCACTGTCACAGCCTGCCTGAGACAGGGCTGTGAGGATGTCGATCCCAAAGGCGACAGCTTGAAGGAGGGAGCTGTGGGCACCTATTCCATCTGCCAGGGACAGCTTGTAGGATCAACAACCGGGGGCTTTCAATGGGGAGGTGCAGGGGCAACCAGGACCCAGAAAAACAAAAGGAATAGGAAAGCAAGCTGTGACAATGAGTGGATAATCCTGGTGACTACTCACCCATTGTGGATAGTTACACAGACTGCCAGTGTGTGTGCACCCTTCACCTCTGGGAGGGGAAGTCCTGATCCGTGACAGCAGCTAGCGGGTGTGACGCTTTTGCTGTGCGCCCCACGAATACTGCATGATTCCCAGAGGAAGTGCTTCTGGGGTAGGAGCCGGGATTATCTCCGTGTTCCAAAAGAGAAGTATAGAGCTCTGAGGCCTGGGGTCTCTGCCTTGTAAGTGGGGATGCCGCTAAAGCAGGCAGTCTGAGTCATGGCCAGTGCCCTTGAACTGGACCAAGAGCCACCATGCCAGCATCTCCCCTGGATGGTGGCAAGTGATAACCAAATTCACATGTTCCCGTCTGAGACGTCTCAAATTGGAGTCGCTCGGGATGCTCACAAATGTTCAGGCAGGTCACTCTGGAGTGTGGACTGTTTCTGAACAAGATAACAAGTTCTTTGGCATTCATGTTTACAAAGTGAAAAAATCTAAAACCCGGTTTGGCCCCTCCCCAGACACTGAAGAGGTCAGAAGTTTGCACATTTGAGTGGTACCCACCGCTCTGCTCAGTTGGGCTCATTTTTCATGGATGGTGTGTGGTGGCTGTGGCTGATGGGTAACTTCTGCTTGCATCCTCCTCTCTCAAACTTCCTCCTCCTTGGTCCTGGTTGGATGGATGTTTGAGCTATTTCCACCGTTTGGCCTTTGTGACGCTTTGGTGAACATCTGCCCACACACATGTACTTGCTTGAGAATCTGTTTTAAATCCTTAGGGCATATACCTAGTAAAGTTGAAGGGTCACAGGCAGTTTTCTGTTTAAGTTTCATTAAAAAAACTAACAAACTATATACTGCCTTTGAAAATAGTATTTTCACCTTGGGCCTTGGCTGTGTAACAAAGACAAGGAAACTAGATAGAAAAGTCCTGGTCTAGACTGCAGGATGCCTGGATTCTTTTCCTAACTTTGAACTAACCAGCTGGGCGATCCTAAGCAAGTCTTTTGCCCTCTTCTGACTATTGCTTGTTCATCTAAAAAGTGAGAGGATTATTTACAGTTAAGTAGCTTGTATAAAATTAAATAACCTTTGAACTTTTTCTCTTTTAACATTTGGTTGGGGGGGGAGAATGGGTTCCTGAGAACAAAGAAGGGATTTATTAGGCAGCAGAATGTGGTTATCATGATGTCCTTTATCTACTATGCTACTAAACTGTGAATTTCAACATCCCTAACAGCTGGGCTTTTTCCTGCCAATGTGTTTCTGATTAATGAGTAATTTCTGGCTTCTTAGTTCCATCAAGATTCCCAGAATGAATATCTGTCCCTTTCCCATCACTTCTGCCACTTGGCAGGTTCTGGGCCAAACATGGTGGTCAGGGAGCCTGGACTAAGCCCTCCTACCCCTTCCTGAAGGAAGGCCATGCCTTCCCTAGTACAAGCTCCCTCCACAAAGGGGGCTTCAGTCAGAAAGTCAGGCTGATCTTTGGAGATGTGAAGTCAAGGTGAAACATTAGTAGCCTTTCTGAAGGACAGTGTAAGGACCACCCTGGAGAATTAACTCTTGTGATGCCTTCTAACCACAGACCCCTACACACACTTACTGCCCCCTAAGATTCAGGGATCTTCATAGATGAGAGGGCAGCAGGATTGTAAGAGCAGACTTGGTAGATAACCTCATGGAAATAGTGCTTACTGGACACAAAGAGCCGTTGCAAACATGAATTTATCATGACTGTGATAGCATGCACGAGACCTGTGCACACTCCAGTCAGACCAAATCCCAGCATGGAGTGGGGGAGGAGAGCACAAAACCATTACTAGCTGAGGAATTATTGGCATTTAATAGCTGCTGGGAAAGTCCATTTTCTTTAATGATATGACAGCCCTACTCCCAGAAATAGCTGGGCAGCACAAACTAGACTGGATGGGATTAATAAAAGAAGAAGAAAACTCACCCTTGTGTAATTAAAGCATGGCTATCAGATACGGGAATAGGGGGAGGGCATGCATATGTTCAAAATACATGTTATGGAATTCTTAAATAACAAAATATTTAAAAAATAATACCATCTAAGTAACTTCTTTCATTTATTCATGTAGTTGTTCATTTTTCTTACCTATCCTAATGTCCATCTGTCACACATTTTGAGAGGCTATTTGGTACTGAGGTTAATTTCTAAGAGTAGATAATAAACTTTCCCATTTATGGAGCCTTCAAATGACTTTTTGGAATGAATGCAAAGCCGAGGATGCCATCGTGGGAGTAGAACTGGGTATTCGGGAACACCTTGGTACCACTTAGCAAATCCTAATGAGAGAGGCCATGATCACAGACTGTCCTGCACACAGGTTGATCTTTCCTGGGCCAGTGGTCAGGACAGCAGACACTGAGACTCTTGAGGAGCCGCATGCCAGGGGAGAGTGAGAAAGATCAGGTAGGCACATGGTTTGGAGGCATGGAACCAGTAAAGGAAGTTAGCGTCAACTTGGGGACAATAGTGAGAGGTGACAAGGAGTGGCATATTTGTATTTGTGCTTTAGAAATAACAGTTCTGGTCATGGACAGAGAATGAATGGGGGACATAAGTAGGAGCAGCGGGGCTACTTAAGGGGCCACTGTAGTCACTCTAGCCTGGAACCCTGGTGATCCAAACCAAGGAGATGGCCATGGGAAGGGAGGCAGGTAGATAGAGGCCAGATCTCTCTCTCTCTCTCTCTCTCTCTCTCTCTCTCTGTCTGTCTGTCTCTCTCTCTCTCTCTCTCTCACACACACACACACACACACACACACACACACACGGAGGGGCGGGGCTAGTGTTGGACTCATTTGCAGAATCCTTCATTCTGGCACGGGGAGGTAGGGTCTAGTGATGCTTCCTACTTTAGGACCCCAGAAATATGGGTGGGTGTATACAATTGACTGTGGGTTCAGGTTCCAGCCAAATAGAGCAGGAGCAGAGCTGTGTGTCCAGCTGATACAGATGTCCTTGGAGGAAAGCTAGAGGGACTCTGGAGACTCCGCCCGTGGCCTTCCCCCATGACTTGGTCCCCTAGTGCTGGCAGGCTGGAGGAGTTAGGAGCTTCAGGCAGCCTCAGCGTGCTGAATTTGAGTCACAGCTCATCCCTTCTCCTTGGACAGCCCTCCCAACTCTCCATAGGGTCAAAGAATATCAATGATCTCTTATTCCTGTGTCCTTACCCAAAAGCATCCTGCTCCAGGCACACTCAGCCGTTGGTCCAGGGAAGCTTTGAGCTGGTACATCTATTCAGGACCTCTAAGCCAGCGTGTGTTTTAATGACGGCTCTATGCAGAGTTGCCTTTGTTCCACACTGGGTCTTAATCACTGGTGGAATTGTCCTCTGGAGATGCCACCTATAGCTCCTGAACATGTGGGACAAGTGGGAACGCCCAGAGATGTTTTTGGTTGGCAACAGGGCTGGCTGGACTCTATTGACATTGGGTAGGTAGAGACCAGGGGCACTTCCAACACCCTATAATATAAATGACAGTTCCCATGCCATGGACTGTTTCGTTCCAAGGTTAGAAACCCTGGTCTAGGAGATTCCCGCTCTGTGGCCTAGAGGTCCCTCAAGTCTTTTGAGACTCTGGGGGTGAGTAGTACAAAACGCAAGTTCAAGAGAAACTCACTCGCTGTTGTTTTCTTTCTCCAGCTGAGCACTGTCTGGAAAGCCCACGCAGAGCGGCACGAGGCGTCGAGAGCCCGTGGGCTGGGCAGCTGGGAGCAAGGCCCGGTGCTGAGGATGGACCGGCAGCAGGCGCCACCCTGGGTCCACATAGCCCTCATCCTCTCCCTCCTCAGCCTCGGAGGAGCTATTGAGATTCCGATGGATCGTGAGTTCTGTGCCCTCTTTTTCCATTTTACCCCTGATGCTGGAGGAATGGGTGTTGGAGAGAGAGGACAGGGAGGCGAGGAGGAGAGGGGCAGCAGTGGATGTCAGGCTTCAGAGCTGGGTTTTTCTCCAAAGGCTTGATGTAGGCTCCCACTAGGAAACTGGAAACTAAGATGCAGGCCTCTTCTTAGGGATGTGGATAAGCTGGTATCTGTTGCCTGAGGAGCGGAACCGAGAGTTGCGTAGTTTGGAATCCTGAAAGCCACCTGGAGTTCTCTCTCCCATACTTACCCACATGACCTTATCCTTGACTTACCTTTCTAAAAGCGATCTCCAGGGTCAAGTGTGGTGGGGTGTCCTTACTAGTCTAACTCGATACACCCAAAGCTGATGCCCCCTTTTGGCTGGAGTAATAAAGACGATGGTGGATAGCCTGGGAAAGGGTTGGCAAGGACAAAAGACACAGCCAAATGAGAAGTGAAGCCATACTATGTTATCATGGGACAGCCAGGCACAGGTTCTTTCTGTCCCAGCATTCCCTCAGAACTATCAAAATAGGGAACTCTCATGTCTGCTCCTGGTGGCGGAGCCCTGTCTGACCCTGACATACTGGACTGATGTCTGGCTCTCTGTCCTCCTTCTCTGGTACTGTACTCACTGGTGGCTGTTGATCGCTCCTTATTCCTTGGCCCTTTCTTCTAAGCATACACCCCTTTGGTACCGTGTTGGTACATGTCCCAGAAGTCTTAGCATCCTAGCACTAAGGTGTAGGCATAGCACCTCTCTCTGCCCCCTATTCTCTACCTCAAGGAATTCACTGAGTCCACATGATGCCAAGATAGACTTGGACTCTCTCCAGTTGACAGATGGATGAAGGAGGCGGGAGGTGAAGATGGCCTCCAAGAAGGCCCCACGCGCTCTAAAGCAGACCTCCTCCACTCCAGTGACAGCTACCCCAGAGGAGTCTGCACTTCTGGATGACAGAGACCAGTGATAACTATGAACTGATACCAGAAGCAAGCTGGCCAAGACCACTGCTGCCTGGGTGTCTACACATGGAAGGAGGGAGAGAGGAGAGCTGCGAGACCAGCGTTCCCATGGTGACCGTCTGTGGTGGGCTCAAGGAGAGTCTCATTAACAGCCAGGCCGACGGTCTAATAAGCGGCGTGATAAGGGCGTGTTCCCTGGAGAGGAGGGTGCAGAGGAAATTAGGTTATGGAGAACATCGTGAAGGCTCATTTCTCTTCTGCCACTTCTCACTCACCTGCTGTTAGAGGCACGGGGTGGGTGGGGGAGGGGCTCCTGCAGTGTGAACCCAGAAGTAGATGGTTTGGGCTTCTATATTGAAGATATGGATTTCCAAGGTCTACTGGTGATGGGTATACAACAGGAAACTCGAGTACTGCCTGAGGCAGAAGGCTGAGGGCCCTAACCTCCTTACCACTGAGGAGGAGGAGGACAGGGAGGAACTGTCTTTTCATGCTGTATACACAGACCAGACCATTTCCTGTTCAGGGTCACCCCCATCAGGGTGATAAAGTCAGAATGGAATCTGGGTCTTTTGTGCTGTGGCACAATGATCCTGCTTCCTTTTAGTGTTTGGACCCTGCTGGAATTGCAGCTGCCCGAGGCAGACAGAGCCCTCGGAGTGGTGATGACCCCACCACATGTGGTTCTCATAGGAAATCCACATGTGGTGCCATCCTCAGCTGACAAATCAGGGACCAGGGAAGAGCTGAGTCAGCACCTGACATCAGCACCTCCGAGAGGAGTCCCTACCGCATGGTGTAGTTGGTTTGGCTGTGTCAGGACGGACCCCATAAAGCACTGCACCTCCCTAGTTGCTGCAGACCCGTGTCAATAACTCCTCTGCAGAAGCTGAACTGAGCAACAACACAGCAAGGTCAAGGGTTTCCTCAGCACATTTCTTCCCTGGCTTAACCACAGCTCTTCCCATGTTCTCTGAGCTTACCTGCCATCCGGGCTTGGGACAAGTCAAGTGTTCCTAGCTTACCCCCTTTGCTGGTAGGGTGAGGCTGAGGGTATCTGACTAGAGACTGTCCTGTGGGTATCTTACTCATTTGCCCCTTCAGGGCATCCTCTGTGCCTCTAGGGCAGGGACACTGCTCCCACTCTGGCGCTTGGCATAGTATCTTTCTGGAGTAGCGCCCTGGATGGCTGCACAATCCCTTATTGACTCGCCCAGCCTCTGGCTCCAATTGCCCTGCCAGTGAAGTCACACGCCACATCCCTCCCATTAGCCCGGAGGAAAACAGCATGACCTTAAAAAAAAAAAAAAGGAATGGTCACCTCATCACCTCATCAGCCAGAATGGCCTTGCCAAAAATGAGTCTTCTAGAAGCTTGCATATACTTCCATCCTCCTTACGCTCAAAAGGATTCAGCATTTCCTCCTGGGAGCCCACAGAAGAGGTCAGCAGGATGGAGAGGTGTTCCTCCCCACGCTCATCTGAGATGGCCTCAGTAACACACCTACTCCACACCTTCCATCCTTCCAGGATGGAGCCCAGAGATCAACTACCAGAACCCAGGAAGAAAGGAGGGGCATTAAGGCAGAGCCCTGGAGCCAGAATAAACATCTGCTCACCCCACAGAGATGGGTTAGGGGGCCACTTTCTCCTTATAAACCAGAAGAACAAATTCATTCTCTACCTGATGTCATCAGACAGCAAGTTCCGGGTCAGGAAAGAATGTGTGGTGGGGTGACAGAGAGAGCACTGTTGTTCTTACCCTCAGACAGGCTGTCCCTCTACCTTCTCTCCATCTCAACTTGTCTTCTGGCTTGGTGCTGTCCCTGCAAGAAATCCCTAGGGAGCAGGATGGTGACTGAGATGTCATTGTCTCACTAGGCAAGTAGATGCTCAAGCGACCCTTTACCAGGTAGGCTGCATGGGCTAGGGTCAGCAGTCAGCCAGTTCTAAGCTGGCTTGGGAATCTCCATTCACTGAAGTATCTCCATTTTCCCTCATGCGCAATGTCAAGGATAACAGCATCATGAGGCCCATGCCCAGCTAACTCACTAAGGGTGGATTTTGAAAGCTCTGCAACAACATCTGGAGAAGCTAGTACAAATTCTGTCTCCAAAGCTAGCTTCCATAAGTCGTAGCCATGTGACCACCCCTCCTTGAATTCATGATGCCATGGAAGGCGGCAGAACCCGGGAGCAGGGTGCATGAGGACCAAGAGGCATCAGTGTGACCTGAGATGAAGTCATATCCCAGCTGGTGGTCAAAAGGAATGTGCTCAAGTACCGGTCCTACCTGTCCGGAGACTGCCCCCTCCTCGTGCCCTGTGCCAGCCCACTGGCTTTCAGTCTTTTTAGGATTACTGTTCTTGGCAGGAAAGCCAATGCAGGTGAAAGTGCCGTAGGGGAGCATCACAGAGCATCACAGGCTTTCCATTCGCTCATTTCCAGCCCAGGCAGACCTGGACAAGTGAAAAGCAAAATGTCCCTTTACTGCTCCAAGGGCCACACCACCGGGCTCATGGAGCCCTCTTAAAGGCCATACCATGGAGATTTTCTTTTGCTGACAGACTGCGTGGTGGTCTGTCTGTTCCTGCCACGCACCATCCCTTCCTCACAGCCTGTCCTCTGCTTCCATGACTCTCTTGGGCCTAGGCGAGCCCTGGCTCCTGGCAGGCTGCCCTTTCTGAGCCTGCACCACCTACTCCCAAGTCTCTTCACTCTGGTGGGAAGACGTCAAGGTCTTCTTGACTCTGTTCCAAAGCCTCCTACCTCCTGCTCTCCCCAGCAGCATTCACTCTGAAAAAGGCAGCCCACCGTGCGCCAGCATGATGTGTGGATATCACCTTGCTTCCTCACAGTATCATAAGAAAAGACACTGAGGAGTCCTAGAGAAATATGTCGTCCTTTCTCCACATCTGTTTGAACCGAGGCTTGCTTCCCACATCTGAAACCTTGCTACCCAGGGCACAGTTCGTGGGCCACAGTACCACCTAGGCATTTGTCAGAAGTGGGGGGGGGGCTTCAAATGGATGTGATTCTGTGGTAGAGGCGCCCTTGCCTGGGTTCCACCCCCAGCACTGGAAGAAAACAACAGCATAGAATCCAGACTCTACAGCAGGCCCTCTGAGCCAGAGCCTGCATCTGCTCTAGTCTCAGTGATTCCTTTGTGGGTTACAGTGTGAAACGCAGGAGCACACCTGTGCACGGCCCCTGTGAGGGATGTGTGCCGTCTACTCCTTTGTCCCGTCTGTGGAAGACACAAGAAGGAGCGGTGGGCTCAGCCAAGTGCCGGGATTCTGTCACCCAGGAACAGGACTTCTATAGAGTATGTTTTTGTGTAAGAGAGAAACAGTGTAGTGAGGGAATGGGGTGCTTGGCCTCAGTGCTTCTATGTTTTAGGCCTTTGTCCCATTACATGGTTAAAGTCCACTCACCTCTTCGTTCCACAGCATCTCCATGCTGACCCTGTGCACCGGGCTCCCACATCCCTCAATGGTGTCAGATGCTAGGAAGCATCTGAAGGGTTCCTTTTAGGAAGCGCTGCCATTTGGGGACATTTGGACTTCCCTGATAACATCTCCATTGGTTACTGGTCCTGGCCTACCGTGTAGTCTTGGTCTCCCCGGTGATACACCTTTTCCACGAAGTGTTTGCTGGGCCTGTTCTCCAACCTTGCCTGTCTCTTCTACGAAGCTCCAGATCTGGGATAAATCCCCATGCCCAGTGTTGTTCCCATGTCTCCTCACCCCCTGTATGATAGGGCAAGAGGATGCCTGATAGTTAGCCGGTCAATTGCGTGCAATAACAGTGTTCTCCTTCTCTCCCCCTCCCAATGCTAACCCACTGGAACTAACAGCAAGCATTCAGAATGAGCGTAAGTGCCTCGTGTGCCTCCATGCCCTTGAGTCTCTGGGAGGTTGGAGGGAGGGAGGAAGGGCTGGGAAAAGGCCAGTCGAGAAAACTGGCCTTGAATTCAGTGGCCTCTTCATTGTGTGTGGGTGCTGTTCAAGCCTAGTGAGTCCTTTGCCAATGTAAGATAATGTCCCCAGGACAGGGGGTGGGTAGCTGGTCAGAAGAAGGTCTACGGATAGCATCTGGGATGTTCCATAGCTACTGCAACTCCTTCACCCACTGGTGGCTGGCACCGCACCCCCAACCCCCGGCAGAACACCAGCTTGCTGGTGCACAGGGAAGCCCTTGCAAAGCTCCAAGGGACTGAAGTCTCTTTTGGCTCTGGCCTCAGCAGTCTGGCCATCTGTTGAGAGTCGTGGCTCAGAACCGTCACAGTCCTAAGTTCTGCAGTCATAGCTGGTTTCCTTCCTGTATCCATTCAGCACACATTCAGCAGGAACTGTTGTGTCCCGTGCAATGTGCTGGGCACTGGAATATGAGCCTGGGTGAAACAAAGCCTGCTTGTCAGTTGCTCAGAGGGAGACTGGATCTTCTTAAAGGGGTTCCTGTGCCCCACTTTTGACAGCCACCCCTATCCTGTAACCCTGTTTAAGACGCTGCATCTTTCGGGTACTACTCATACCTGCTTGCTTGCCTGCCTTCCAGGTGGCTCCTGGTGCTCTTGACTCTAGCCACTCTCTAAACCAAGTTCAGGGCAGGTGTCTGTCATTCTGACCATTGCCACATGTGTCCTGTTGCAGTGACCCAGCCCCCAACTATCACCAAGCAGTCAGTAAAGGACCACATCGTGGACCCCCGTGATAACATCCTGATTGAATGTGAAGCTAAAGGGAACCCCGCCCCCAGGTGAGTGGAGGGAGAGGGACCTGAAAAGCCACGGTTGAAATGACCCACTTCCTGGTCACGCCTAGGCAAGCAAACTGAGAAGTTTGGCATAGGGCTTGAGCAATAACTTGATGGTTGAGTGAGCACTGTATTTGCCAGGATGTGAGATCAATACCTGAGCATCCTGGTCATCTGGCTCAGTTACCTGTAACTGCAGCTCCAGGAGCACCCACTGCACCTGACCTCCACAGGTAACCACGTGCACATACCCCACTTATACCCCCACACATACCCCACACATACCCCACACATACCCCACACATACCCCACACATACCCCTTACATACCCCTTACATACCCCACATATACCCCTTACATACCCCACATATACCCCACACATACCCCACACATACCCCACACATACCCCACACATACCCCTTACATACCCCACACATACCCCACACATACCCCTTACATACCCCACATATACCCCACACATACCCCACACATACCCCTTACATACCCCACATATACCCCACATATACCCCACATATACCCCACACATACCCCACACATATCCCTCACATATCCCACACATACCCCTCACATAACCCACATACCCCACACATACCCCTCACATATCCCACACATACCCCTCACATACCCCACACATACCCCACATTACCCCACACATACCCCACACATACCCCTCACATACCCCACACATACCCCTCAGATACCCCACACATACCCCTCAGATACCCCACACATACCCCTCACATATCCCACACATACCCCTCACATACCCCACACATACCCCTCACATAACCCACATACCCCACACATACCCCACACATACCCCTCACATATCCCACACATACCCCTCACATACCCCACATTACCCCACACATACCCCACACATACCCCTCACATACCCCACACATACCCCACATTACCCCACACATACCCCACACATACCCCTCAGATACCCCACACATACCCCTTACATACCCCACATATACCCCACATATACCCCACACATACCCCTCACATACCCCACACATACCCCTCACATAACCCACATACCCCACACATACCCCACACATACCCCTCACATATCCCACACATACCCCTCACATACCCCACACATACCCTACACATGCCATATAGGTACCTCACATATACTCCCACACATATCCCACACATACCCCACACATAACCCACACATACCCCTCACATACCCCACACATACCCCACACATACCCCTCACATACCCCTCAAATACCCCACACATACCCCTCACATACCCCACACATGCCCCACACATACCCCACACATACCCCACACATACCCCTCACATACCCCTCAGATACCCCACACATACCCCTCACATACCCCTCAAATACCCCACATATACCCCTCACATACCCCACACATACCCCTCACATATCCCACACATACCCCTCACATACCCCACACATACCCCATACATACCCCTCACATATCCCTCAAATACCCCACACATACCGCTCTCATACCCCACACATACCCCTCAGATACCCCACACATACCCCACACATACCCCTCACATGCCCCACACATACCCCTCACATAACCCACATACCCCACACATACCCCACACATACCCCTCACATATCCCACACATACCCCTCACATACCCCTCACATACCCCACACATACCCCTCACATACCCTTCACATACTCCTCACATACCCCACACATATCCCACACATACCCCTCACATACCCCACACATACCCTTCACATACTCCTCACATACCCCACACATACCCCTCACATACCCCACACATGCCCCACACATACCCCACACATACCCCTCACATACCCCTCACATACTCCTCACATACCCCACACATACTCCCACATATACCCCACACATGCCCCACACACTCCCACACTCACACAGCATAGCATGTGTGGGTGTCATCCACCTATGTTCAGTTTACAGGAAGTTCCTCTTCCTAGCTAACTCAGGGCTTTCATTCTGCGCTTGTGTTTGCTTGTCTCAAATGTGAGGTCAGGAAACAGGAAGGAGAAAAACGTCCTATCTAGACTGTTTTGTGCTGTTACATGGTGTTATTCATCTGCCCCTCCTCCTCTGCGGCGAGTCCAGTCTCTTTCCTGAGGAGAGATGGGTGATTTTAAATGCCTCTCCTACAAGTCACCAGCTTGACTGAACCAGGATTTAGACCCACTACTTGATCACCAAGGCTAGATCTCTTTCTGCTGCACCATATAGCCTGGCAAACTGAAGATGTTAAATACCGTGCTCCGTTTTCAAAGTTGCAGAATGTATCCAGTATCAGGGGGACAATGCAGGGTGGAGGTTTGCTCTGCCTCTGAGGTTGTGTGAGGCAGTCAAACCAAGAATGGCGAGCCCAGAACCAGCAGGGATTCCCTCACCCCAAGCGGGAAGCACCCTGTCAGGCCAGTCAGGACATTAGTGACCATGCCTCTAAGATAGGTCTTTCCTACAGGGGTCCTCTGGGGGGACAAGGACTGTAAGCATCCATTGCTGTTCCTTGCTGTGTTTGTACCACATCAGCACAGGGAGCCAAGGATGTGTGGCTGGCTGCAGCATCCTCCCAGGACAGGCTGAGGAACATCATGATGATGATGATGATGATGATGGTGATGCCGATGCCGCCCCCTTGCCCCTCCTCCTCTCCTCCTCCTCCTCCTTCTCCTTTTTTATACGAAGGGTAGAACTTAGATTCTTGCACATGCTAGGCAAATGCTCTGCTGCTGAGCCCCGCCCCGCCCCGCCCCAGACCTAGGGGGACATTTTAGGCTCTTTACAGCTCTCTTTCCTTAGCCTGCCAGTTCGTCCAAAGCTGCCCTTCCCTGCTACTGTTTCATGGTCTTCATGCAGTGCATGTCCACCAAGGAGCAGGCAGCCCCTGCCGTCCGTGTTGTCTTCAGAGCAGAGGTGGCAGCGTGGCGCATGCGGGTTGGTGCAATAAGGAGTTTGCATTCCTAGGAGGAGACTGGGAATGTCACAAGGTAAAGGAAGCAGCTGGCTCTGTTTGGTTTTTAAGAAGCCACCGTGTCCCTGAGTTACGTGCTCACAGAACAGAACCGCTGGAGAACGTGGGTGCCTACTGCCCATCGCCAGCCTTAACTAGCAACAGCACTCAGAGTATTCGCGGTTCCAGTAGACACGAGCTGGGCCTTTGCATTCTTCCAAGCTTATCGCGTGGCTCTGCCCAGCCAGGCCTGGGTCCATTGGCACAGAGGTAGGGTGACGGAGTAGAAAGTCTGCCACTGAGTGCGGGACTAGGGACCAACCCTCCCCAGCCCTTACATATGGTTAACCTGGCTCCTGTCATTCACAGCTTTCACTGGACTCGAAACAGCAGATTCTTCAACATTGCCAAGGACCCGCGGGTGTCCATGAGGAGGAGGTCTGGGACCTTGGTGATTGACTTCCCGAAGCGGTGGCCGGCCTGAGGAATACGAAGGGGAATACCAGTGCTTCGCCAGAAACAAATTTGGCACTGCGCTCAGCAACCGGATCCGCCTGCAGGTGTCCAGTGAGTGTCGGGGACGGGGTTGGTGCTGGCTCCCCGGTGGGTGGGGGGCATGCCTTCCATGGGTCTCTCCCACCCCAGGAAGATTCCTGGAAAGAACATTTCCAGACTAGCCAGTACAACCTTACCAGTTACTCTGAGCACTGGTGGAGAGGAGAGGAGAGGAGAGGGCAGGGGAGGGGAGGGGAGGGGAAGGGGAAGGGGAAGGGAGAGGAGGGGAGAGGAGGGGAGAGCATCCACTGTCATGCAAAGCTTCTCCCTCCTTTCAGCAGCCACCCTCTGTGTCCTCACTCTTGTCTCCCCCGTCCCCCCTTCTCTTGAGCCTGTCCAGCTTCACGTCACCCTCCTATGTTTCTCTTCAGAATCTCCCCTGTGGCCCAAGGAAAACCTAGACCCCGTCGTGGTTCAAGAGGGCGCCCCCTTGACACTGCAGTGCAACCCCCCGCCTGGCCTCCCATCCCCAGTCATCTTCTGGATGAGCAGCTGTAAGTACGCAAGCCCCGCCTCACCGAGAGCCCAGCTCCGGGGGGTGCGCGGGGTGGGTTGAATCAGGGTATGATGGTTACTGTGAACTGTGAACTTGACGGCTCTAGAACCTTCATGGAGACAAATCCCTGTCTATAAGAGATTTCTAGCTAGGTTAATTGAAATGAAAACACCCACCTTAAATATGCGTAGTAACCTTTCTGTGGGCTGGGATCTTGGGTTAAATAAAAAGGAGACAGTGAGCTGGGCAGCAGCCTGTGTCTCTGCTCCCTGACTGAATGCTCATGCTTCCACTCCATGCCTTCTCCACCATGGCGGACTTGCCCTGGATCTTTAAGCCCAAACAAACAAACAAAAAGAGAACACCCTCCCTTAAGCTGCCTTGGTTAACTGAGACGCACAGAAGTATGGAAACTAACATGAGGGTTCCCTCAGAGTTGGGAGACCAACTTGTGAGAAGCAGGTATGAACTGGCCACATGGTTCAAAACAGCTGTGCAGAGCGGCTGATACTGCTGTGTGCTCATGGGCAAGCTGCTTCTTAGCTCTGAGCCTCTAGCTGGGTGGTGGTGGTGGTGGCGCACCCCTTTAATCCCAGCACTCGGGAGGCAGAGGCAGGTGGATCTTAAGTGAGTTTGAGGCCAGCCTGGTCTACAGAGCGAGTTCTAGGATAGCCAGAGCTACACAGAGAAACCCTATCTCAAAAAACAAAACATAACAAAAACAACCCCTTCTAAAAAGAAGCTCCGAGCCTCTATTCCCTCTTCTCGAAAAAACAGAACTGCCATCTATGTGTGCAGTAGAATGGGGGTCAGGGTGGGGGTGAAGGTTAGGAGTCCTCAGAGCTGGGTCACACACGCAGGAAGTCCTTGGCAACTGCATTGATGAAGGTAAAGGGTAGCAAAAGAAGAAGAAAGCAAATGTTTTCAAGCCGGTAACTGCTGGTGACAGTCTTGTTCCATCTTTGGTCCATCTGGTTTTACTCCAGTCCCTACACTTGGAAGTCAGGAGTTCAGTTGAAGACTGGCATTTTCCATAAGCAATGAAGGGAGATTGAGTTTGGAGTAGAGGACCAGGTAACAGCCCCCAGAGATTGTTCTGGATCTGCTGTGGTCTGATGCTCACCTAGCTCTGGAAAGACCAGTTTTTGCCACGTTTTCAATTAAAATAATAGGGGGCACTGATAAAGGAGAGATGAGCATTCAGTGCCCTCCACCCGGGCCCTGATCTTTCTCTCTGCCTCTCCCTCCCCGTCCATCTCCCTGGATTTCCCTCCCCTCTCCCTTTAAGCCCACCCATCTGCCTCTGCTGTCCCTCGCTCTGCCCCCTCTCCCCTGTCCATCCGCCCGCCTGCCTGTCTAGCCACCCATTCATTATCCTGTAAACCCAGCTGCCCACCTGCCTACCATGCATCAGTCATGTACTTGACTGTCCGGCCTCTTTCCAGTGAGGCTGTGCAGGGAGGCAGTGCTGTGAACTGTTTTGCAGGGAGAGGATGGCTTTGCGCACAGTCACCGTCCTTCTCACATTGTGGGATAGGATGCCTGATGTCATCTGGCAGGCTAGTTCAGACCCTCTTCTCTCACTATTACATCATATTTATCAGTGACTTAGGTCCTTGCCGCCTCTTGAGCAGCTCTCATGGCCCTCTTACTTCTGTCCTCACTAATATCTTCTCAGCCCAGAGCCCTGTTAGCTTTGCCTGGTTTACAGTCTCATCCATAGCCGGTCTCCGTAGGCTTTAAGAACAGCATCGGATAGCCTCGTTTGCATGCTTTCACCGGCTCCTCTCCTTTCAGCACAAACCCAGACTCCTTTACCTGGGACAGTGTCCCTCATGATGCAGTCCTCTGCCTCTCCGGCCACTCCCTCATCCCTGTGCCCTTCAGCTTCTGGCTAGGCTGTGTCATTTCAGCCTCAGACACACTGCTCTAGTGTCTCAGGACCTTGCAACATCTCTGTCCTCTGTGCCTGACACAGACATGCAGACCTCAGGGCTCTGCTCAGGACTCCCAAGAGGACAAAGTCCCTTCTGCCACCCTACCCTTCCTCCCAGCGCCCTCTCCCTTCCACGTCACCTCTTCCTTCTCTCCTGCTATACAGAGGGCTTGTCTTTCACCAGCCCCTAGAACATGTGACCTGGCACACAGTAGGCCTTCAGCAGACCTTGGAGGGGTGAGTTGAAGAACCAAGTGCCTGTTGTGGGACAGGTGGCATCACTGACACAAAGAAGCGGTTGTAGGAACAGGAAGTAGATCAACCTGGAGTGTAGGTCAGCAGACCTGACAGCTTGGCGAGCTGACCCTGTATGTTAACACCAGTTACTGAAAAATATAGCAATGTCACATCGTCAGGTTGTGGCATGACTGGAATTAGAAATGTCTGGTCACAGTATCTGGGCAAAGGGATCAGCCCTTCCCTTTGCTATAAGGAGCAGCCACACCCTGCCTGCTGCAGGATTGGGAGGAGTTGACTAAACGGTAGCAAGCTCCAACCCCCATCTGGAGAGCCCCCAAACGGCAGAGCTGATTGTCACTGAGTCAGTCTGCTAACCTCCTGTCACCCCTCTGCTTCCCCACAGCCATGGAGCCCATCAGTCAGGACAAGCGTGTCTCCCAGGGTCATAATGGGGACCTGTACTTCTCCAACGTCATGCTGCAGGACATGCAGACAGACTACAGCTGCAATGCACGCTTCCACTTCACCCACACCATCCAGCAGAAGAACCCGTTCACCCTCAAGGTCCTTACCAGTAAGTGCGGGCCCTGCTCAGAGCTGGGGGCCCTGCTCGGAGCTGGGGGCCACAGAAGCCGGCCCTGAGCCCACCCATCATGCATACCTGTAGCCGGCCCAGAATCCACCTCTGGCTCATTGTGCCTGAGCCACTGCCGCTGCCTTATGCAGCATCTCTGGATGCAGAAGCCTCAGCAGGCTTGTGCTCTCTCAGCCCTCCACTCTCACTGAAATGCTCCTGGAGTTTGAGAGACTTTAAGTGACCACCAAATCAGGAATCCCTATGGTACACTTGGCTTATTCCTTTTATTTCTAGTCATGGAAGAAAACCAGTGCATAAGGTACTAGGACCAGTGGAAACACCAGAACAATTTGTGAGCCATCTGGATGTGTTATGTCCACAAACTTCAGATTTATGTTTTTACCTTGTGGGGGTTAGTTTTTACCCCCTGATTGGTTTTGGCCAGTCCAAAAGCAAATTAGCATTCCCTGGCCCACTACACTTGTGGTGGCTCTCTCCAGAGGCATGCAACGACAAGTCAGGCAAGAGTTTTGGCTGCAGCCCTCAGCTTGTTCAAGATGTCGCCTGGGTGTGGGTACACCATGGACATGTAACACGGTTAGCAGAAGATCTTCTGAAGCGTCTCTAATCTGCCTGACTCAGGCTGTAAATGTCATTGTCAGTGCTGTGCTATGGATGGTGAGGAATGTGAGGATGGCATGCCAGGAGCACCACAGGTCAAAATGAGGCTGAGCCTACCTCTGGGGGCTGCCACTACCTGGGGGAGTCCCCTGGGGAAAAGCCTGGGTGGACTTGTTTAGCACTGGCAGAGACCCCTTCCATCTGTGCTGGCGATGGGCGGGGCACTATAGCATCAACACAGCCCCATCCCTTTCCTCAGGGACGGAACACCCGCCCCTCAGGAGAAGCTTCCTCTTGTTTGCTTCTCGTGGCTTCTTCCTCCCTTTTTTCTTTCATTTTCTTCTTCTTTTTATCTCCTTCCCCTGTTCTTTCTCCCTCTTCCTTTCTTTCTTTTCTTGCTAGTCTTTCCCTATGAACCCTCCTCTGGCCACCTGCCTCCTGGTCTGTGATATGCCTTTGCCAGTAGGTGTTGTCACCCATGATGGGACAGACAGCCCATGGGATTGTGCAAACTCTGGCAAGGAACCCTGCCTGCTGCTGCAGAGGCCCTGGCTTTCTGACTCCTGAATCCACCCCAGGAGACCCCTGGGAAAGGAAGTTGGTTTGCAGGTGGCTTCAGGTGGCTATCTGCCAGCTGGCTGAATGAAGGAGGACAGTGTGGTTTTCCCAGGACCTCTGAGTGCCCTCAGCCAGGACAGAGCTTGCAATGAGGAGGAGTGGTCCACCTAAAAAGGGTGATGCTGGGCGTCAGGTCTATAGCTCCAGGGCCTGAGCCAGGCTTCCTGATGTTCTGGGCAGTCTGGGAGAAGGTTCAGTTAAATGACAATTAGCAATGGAACTTTCCAGAAGCATTCTTCTCTCTATAGGATGTCAGGGATGCTTGCCTCTGCTTCACTTTGAGTTGCCCGTCCCATTGGAAACTCTCTCCTCTCAGTGACAAGAATCCCTCTTGGTAACCTGGGCAGAACCCTGCCAGCTTTCTGGAGCCCTCCCAAGAGCAGCTTTGGCTGGAAGCAAGTTCTGGGCATCTGAGCCAGCCTAGAATTGGGCACAGTTTCTTAAAATAGCACAGTTGGGCTCTGTTGACTTTCCTGTCTAGAAAGGGCACAGGCTTCCTCTACCTCCTTCAGTTCTGGAGGGGAAGCCAAGCAGTTTGCCTGTATTCCGCCTTTGGGGACAAAAATTAGTCTTCGTTAACACTATTTTGGTTGTATCAAAGGAAGGGGAGAAATATATACACATATATATGTATATAACAAAATACCAGGCAATCTAAAAATCATTTTTAACTTGTTTGAGGATGAAGTAAAATATAACCAGGTGAATTGGGCCAATAAAGACACATCTGTGACTTAACAGGCACAAGATGTCTACTGCTACCGTAGGAGGCACCCTGGTTAGAGAGAAGGGGATCTGCCAGGGCAGACAATGGGGTGAACTCTGCACTTCCTGCCAGTGTTCAGGTGGCATTCCTGAAGGACAGGATCTCCCTAGATCTCTTCTACACACTCCCAAACCTGCAGCCAAGTTGGCTGTGAGCATTGGTCTTTCCCCAGAAGAGAGTGAGACCCCGTTCCACCCGGTACCTTTGGAGTGAAAGAGAAGGGCCCCCTTCCATTAAGCATGCCTCTGTGCTCCCCAAGGGGGCTGGATATTCTCTCACAAGCACTGCCACACACTGGCTACCTGGTGCCACCTACCCTTTCATTCCACTGTGGGACAGTTCCCACCCTCCAGCCAGGTCCATCCAAACTGGCTTCCAAAGCAGCTAGGTCTTTCTCAACCAGTCCCAGAGTAAGAAGCAGCTCTGAGAGTCAAAATCTTTCCATTGCTGGCTGTAAAGCAGATTGGGGGTACAATTCAATGCTAGTCCCAGAAAAGAATTTATGTACCCTCTCATAATTACTTGTGATGCGATTTGAACAGTCTTTAAATGTTCTAACATAGCCGCTGGCCTCCCTTGGAAGTTGGACTGTGTCCTGGCTTCTCGGGTTGTCTGCTTGGCTTCCCTCCCCTGTCAGAACTTGATCCCTCAGGGGTATGAATAGAAAGCAAAAAGCTACTTAAGGAGAGTGGTATGTTTATGTGTCCTGTCCTAAAATATCTTCACTAGAGACTGAAGGACCGAGGGCTTTAGTCGCCTTACATTGGAATGGAAAACACTGATCCTGCTTTTTAAAGAAAGTTCCTGTCCTCCAAGACAATACAGAGAAACCCTGTCTTGAAAAAAAAAAAAAAGAGAAAGTTCCTGTCCCCATGCTATCCAGAAAGCTCCAGGTTTTAGGTGTGGGATTCATCCCCTCACCTTGCTGTCCTGACCCAAACTCCACCAGGGTCTCCCAGCAGATGTCTGGCAGGGTCTCCAGTGATGCCCACCTGGTCAGATTAGAGCGCTCTTGTTGCTGGGAACTGCAAAGGGACCTCTGTCCCTCTCTGCTGGTGACTGTCTTACACACACACACACACACACACACACACACACACACACACACACACACACACACACACACACACCTGCAGCCTAGCTACCACCAGGCAGGACTTTGCTGTCCTCTGCAGGTCTCACTAACACTCCTTTTTCTCTAGCTGGTCTGATGTGGAGGAGTCCTGGGGCCTGGGGAAAAGCTGGCTCAGATCAGCCACAAGATGCTACAAGACCCTAATCCTTACCTCATTTGTTCATAGATGGACCAAGCAGAGCTCAAGCCTAATCTCTTTACTTTCAACATAATCTCGTTTTATTATTGCCTTCTTTCACAGGATTTAACTGTTTCGTTTCCTTTTGAGCTGTTTTGTGTTGGCTGTTCTCAACCAAGTGCATTCCTTTTCCATGCACACCATTTTCTTTTGCAAAACCCCCACTGGTGCTGTCCTCGGTTGCAATGTGGCTTTGCATTTCTGTTCTCTTCCTCCTGGTGTTTGCACCACAGCTGCTGCGGGCCTCCCTGTTTGCTCACCCTCTTTTGTTTATTGCAGACAATCCCTATAATGACTCGTCCTTAAGAAACCACCCTGACATATACAGTGGTGAGTCCGAGGAGTAACTTCTCCTGTCCTAATCCACTTTGGCTAACTTGACTGATACCGTGACATTAACTCCTGCTGGGTGGTAGAGCTGGTCAGGCAAGGCACCAAAGAGACACCTCAGGACACGGCCCATCTGGAGCAAGGTGGTCAGTGCAGGAGTTTGGGGTAGCTCATATCGGGAGTGTTTCCTCCTTGCCCCTCCAATGTGCAAGTCTCTATTTGCTGAATTCTTAGACGGTAGTTTTAAGCAGGTTAGATCTCATGGAGGACTCAGCAAAGACTTGAGGATCCATGGCAGACGGATAGAAAGTGGACTTTTGCATCACTGACAAAATTATCTGAGAAACAACATGAGAGACCAGAGAATTATGTCTGCCTGTGGTTTCAGAGCGTTTTGGTCCTTCACGGCAGGGAAGCAGGCACTGTAGCATCGTTCACTATTGGCAAGAGTGTAGGTAGAGGTCATTCACATCACAGCAGACTAGGGAGCAGAGAGCAAGGCAAGAAGCAAGTGTTAGATGCCCTTCAGATGCCCAGCTCCAGTAACCTGCTTTTAACAGCTAGACCGCACCTCCTGAATGTTCCACCTGCCCTTAAAACAGCGCTGTGAGCTGAGGAAGAAGCATGGATCAGGGCAGGGGCACAATTCAGATTTAACCACAACAGAGGATGATAGCAGGTGAGAGTCCGCAGTTAGGAGGGAACAGGAAACCCAGTTCCTATTGCTAGGGTAAAGAGCACAGCTTTCATTGTGTTAACTCTTCAGTGTCTGGGTGTGAATTGCCTGCTTTGCAACTGCACTTTGCTTCCTAAGAGTATTGCGTCACAGCCGGGTCCCATATCTCTCTAAGGTTTTTCTAGACGGTTGGAGAGATGGCTCAGCAGTTAAGAGCTTTGACTGCTCTTGCAGAGGATCCAGGTTTGATTCCCAGCACCTACATGACTTATCTGCAGCCCCAGTTTCAGGGAATCTGACACCCTCTTCTGGTCTCCGCATTATCAGGCCAGCACATGGGGCACTTACATACATGCAGGCAAAATATGTATATGCATAAAATGAAAATAAGTAAATCTTTAAAAGATTTAAGGCTTCCCTAGAAAGTGGTATTAAGAATACCAGGCCAGAGTTCTCTTTCCAGGCAAGTATGAATGAAACTGTCCCTCCCTGTCCCTGACACGCGTGCCTTTCCTACCTTCTGGCAGCATGTGCAAATCCGGTGCCCACCAGCTACGTCTTGCAAGTCATGAACTGATCACAATGAGTTGTGTTTCTAACAAACCACAGCTGGCTGCTAGGTCTGATTAATAAGGGAACTGGCTATTTCCACACCTGAGTCTCCCCTCACTGTGGGTAGAGAATGCCTGGTGTTCCTTGAGCAGTCATTGGACTCGGCATTCGCTGGTCCCATCATCATCTGTGCTTCTGAGCCGAGGTCAGGTCCCCAAGGGCATCTTTGGGGGCTCAAATAGGCAGGAATATCTTTGCTGAGATTGCTAATATAAGCAATGGTCAATGTCTGGAGTGGAGGATGGGACAAGAAATGAGAGCCAAGGGAAAACAAAGGTTCCAACTTGGCACCAGCAGCAAAAGCCATGCCGAGAAACTGCCAAAGAGATTTACTGCCCAAGGAAGCTGGGGCCTTTGTTGCATTCTGGGCTTATTTGTTTTCAAGATAATGGCGCCAGCCACTGTTGTCAAAATTCCCAGAGCACTGCTATGGAATGTGCCTTTTTCTAAATTGAACCCCAAGTATCTATTGTAGGAAGTGCTCTGAAATCCAGAGCATATTGGAGCCCTTGGAGGTCATGTGACTCAAGTTCTTTGCTTTATGTAAGGCAGGGAAATGTAGTTGTTTTATCCATGGAAGATGACTGGGTGATCTCAGCCATACATGACCCACATCATCTCCAGAGGTCAGTATTTTTTTAAGAAGAAAATAAGTGAGATTTTGAGATTCACTCAGGATTGCAAAAGCAACAAAGCCCACAAAGTCCAGGTCCTCAGTCCATACCAGGACGTGGATGGCATAGCCTGAAGCTGCTGGGGAGGACAGAGCGTTTAAAAAAAGATAAATACTGAGCAAAGGACAACCAAGCTGCTGGTTTTAGAAAGAAAGAAAACGCAAGAAAGTAGGGAAGTTCTTCCTGGGTGAACAGAGATGTTAGCCAAGGGACATTGTCAGTGACAAATGTCCAGTATACACCTCTGTTTGGCTCTGAAATATGACGTGTCTCTCTTCTAACAGTAGGGCCACCAAGTCCTTCTGTTCTGATGAAGTGTACATAGTGGCATCCTCTGGACGTGGGCCAGAAGCCATCTCCCCCTCTGATTGGCAGAGAAAGCCACTTGGGTTTCATCCAGGCTAGAAAGCAGGTGGTTTATAGTGTGTACTTGGAGGTATACTGCCTCTAGTCAAATCCAGTCTCTAGGACTCACTGCCAGGTAACACTGGGCAAGTCATTAATGCCTTAGGACTTTAATTTCCTCATCCACCGAGCAGGCAGGTTACTAGCCTCAAAGATGTCTGTAAAGGTTAAAGAGGGCCGTGTGCCCGCAGCCTGGTAAGATGGCTGTAAGGTTAAAGAGAACCTTGTGCCCACAGCCTGCTAAACTGCCGCACACACTGACAGTGTTAATATAACCCACTGCTGAACTTAAAGGGAAAGGCTTTGTGTGGACTGGATTGTATATAGGCCATCTGCTTCTAAATTAAGGGAGACACAGAGACTTGGAAGAGAAGCCCGGGAGAGAAAGGCAGGCACACTTACAGGAGGAGAAGAAATCCACAGGGAGAGAGAGACATCAGAGTACACCAGAGGAATGAAAGCTGCCCAGATTGTGAGCTCTGCTAAGAACTGGGTAAGGAGAAAAGCTGCAACTATTGCAGGCGGGAGTTGAGTTAAATTTATAGAAGAATTTTCCTAACAGGGAGGCACACCAGGTGTTCTAGACCAAGAGACCCCCTTCCCCATACCGTTTGCTCAGCCATTCCTAAGGCCAGAAACATGGGTGAGGTGCCAGGAAACCCGCCTCACACATCTCTGGTTCTCAGTTCTGAGAACTGAAGACAGCAGAGAGAACTGGATGCCATGAACAGCCGTGTTTGGCAAAGGTTCGCAGGCGCAGCCGATGTATTGAACAATTGTTCCACTGGCAGACGGCACTGAGTGACGGGAACAGCTAAGTTTGTCAGCACTTTCGACCTTTCTCAATAGAAGACAGCCAGAAACTGTTTCTCATTTGACCCTTAAAGCCAATTTTTTGATTAAAGTGAGGTCGTGCCCTGATGTGCCCTGACCTACCATCTGACTCTGGAGATCTGCGAGTCCTCTCCGAGCCATAGCTTGTAAGAGCCACCCTTAGGCATCTCTCCTTGGACCTATGCAGGTTTGGGTCTGGCTTCTGGATCCTGAAGTTCCTCCGTATCGGGTGGACCCCAACCTGAAGGCCAGAAATAGGCAGAAACATCCCTGCCTCCATGGTGGAGAGAGCCGTCCTCCCTAAAGAGACATCTTTCACTACATAGAACTTCCTGCAATAGTTACCTTCGTATTGGTAGTTACTGGTTCCTGTGTCTCCTCCAGGGAAAGAAACTAGGCACCCTCCCTCAGGAACAGTGGCTCCCAAATCACCAGCCAGGCCCTCTTCCTTAAGTTTTCATGTAATCCCTCCTACACAGCCATTTCTTCGTAACTGCCCTTTAGCTCCAACCTTCTCGCTGCTCTGAAAAGCCACTAGTCACCATGATTCTCCCTAAGAATCCAGTTGAGAGGCCCTGGAGGCTCTGTGTTCCCTCCCCAGCTTCTTCTCCAAGAGCTGGGATCTTTGATGGTGAGAAGCGTAGAGCAGACCAGAGCAGATCACAGGACCAAACGCCTTTGTCCTTCACCTCTCAGCATTTGGATTTTGGGTTTCTTTGGCTGGGGTTATTAGAAATCTATTCTGAAATTGCCTGTCAGAAATGGGGACAAGTGACATCTCCAGCTTCAGACAGAGAGTCAATTTGGAGTAACTCACAGCACATCTCCAAATCCAAAGCAGAGTGAGCTTGGGCAAGCCTGTTAACGTCATAGAAACTGGTTCCCTCTGCTAAAAACAGAAATGGCACTTACTGCCAGGATGTGCTGTGAGGATTCGACCTGCTGGTGCCGCCAACCAAGCAGTCCCAGTGCCTGGCCCCTATCAACCAAGCAGTCCCAGTGCCTGGCCCCTATCAACCAAGCAGTCCCAGTGCCTGGCCCCTATCAACCAAGCAGTCCCAGTGCCTGGCCCCTATCAGATCCATACTGAGCGGTGATGGCTGCCTCTGACTTGCAAGGTAGCCTTCTATTTCATTCTCCTTTCCAGCGACTGCTTCCTCCCTAAGACACCTCTGTGGGTTGGTAGCCCTCATCCTGCAAATGTGGGGCTGCTGTGACTTTGCTCTGGTCACGTTCCAGTGTGTCGTCATGCCCAGAGCAGGCCCTGCACTAACCTTCCTGCTCTGCATCCTCACTGTTTCCTGCCCCTGGGGTTTTGTGCTGGATGCCATGGGTGAGTTAAGTGTCGGAAGGGTCACAGGTGGCTCCTGCAACCTTTCTTCCTTGCGCAGAATGAGTGTGATGACTGAGACGGGATCTTTTCCACCTCGCCATGGGGTTCGCAATTCTGGGCAGACTCACATCCACTTAATATGAACCTCCTGCCCTGGAATCGCCCTAACAGTTTGGTGCCCGAGCCTGTGTTTTCTTGGCTGTTTTTGTTTTTGTTTTGTTTTTGTTTTTGGTGAGTGTGTGATAAGGGTGGGAGGAAGCTGCTGCTTCCTGGATACTGCAATCTGGGTGTTGCTAGGTTCACAGGTACAGAGGGTAACCAACTAACCACTTAATGAATTAACCCTGCAGTTGCCGCTGTTCTGTGTGTGTGCGGGTGTGACAGATGAGGACAGCTATAGACAGCAAAGAGGGGGGGCTAAATTGTTGCCTCCTTTTTTTGTTTCTTCTCCCCTCTAACTTGTTTACCCCCAAAAAATATTTACTGAACATGTGTCATACGTCATGTATTGTATTGTGCCAATAGCCAGTATGTGCTTTAACCTTTCTTCCCCTGACAAAAAGATAAAAGGTAGGTCAGCTCTGTGAGATGCTGCCCAATGGCTAACGAAGAGAAGCCAAGCATCCCCAGGACAGGGGCCTCCCTGAGCCAGACAGACACCTGCAGATGCAGCCAACTCCCATAAGAAGCACAAATCACTGTTTGGATCCCCACCAGCCAGCCCTCACCCCGCCCGCACCAGTTAAACCCAGAAGAATGTCCTTGTACCCACTCCAGGCTCCTCCAAGGGCTCCCAGCTCCTGGCAGCCCTGCCTTTCCCCTACTTCCCACTTGGCTGGCTGAGCCTAAGACCCACGGCAGCCTCAGCGTGTCCTCCTCCTCAGTCCTTGGCCTTTGAGGATCCCTCAGCAGGGGTTCCTCCTCCAGTTTCCCTTTTGACCTGGGTTTCTGGTTGGAAATCTCTGGTTTTTCTTTTATCCATTTCTACAGCGTTACACAAAGAGCACAGGAAAGAAGTAAGGCTTGCACAAGGCGAGGTCCATTCTCCATGGGTCCACCCCGATTGGCAGGACCCCTTCTACAGGGAACAGGCTGCTGACAGCATCAGGGTGTGGACCACCCAGCCTCTACAACCAATATGGGAGATTTCTGCCTCCCTCATGGTTGCTTCAGCTGCCATTCCTCCCAACCCCATCTCTCATGGAGTTAGTCAAGAGTTAGGAGCAGAGTGGGCGTGCCCCCCGGGAGCTTTCCAGCCATCTCTCCTCATTGGTTCTCTTCATGTCTTTGCTATGCCATTAATAATTCTCCCTGCATGCCCACTGTTTATCTGGGACTTTGTTGCTTCATTCCAGCTCCTTATCAGGGTCCCAAAGAGCAGGTTGCTCGTACTGTGTCCCAAGTCTACGCCTTTTCTTTCTCCAGTGTCCCTGTCTGACACCGAATGACCTGCCCTCTGGCCCCTTTGTCCCAACACAGTTGACAGAGAATGGACCTCTCACTGCTTGATAACCCCCGCCAGAGGAAGGGAAGGGTTTCTGGGCTCTTCTCAACAGAACCTGGAGCTGGTTACACACATGTGCTGATGGGCAGAGATCCCAAGCTTCCCAACACACCTCTTAAAGATGCCCAGATCTTGGGGGTGGCTTGGGCTGGAAGGACCAAGAGTGGGGCGTGGTGACATTTCTCTCTAACCCAGCAGTTCTGGCACACCTGAGAAGGAGGCTCATGGAAGTTTGTTCTGTCCTGTTTCAGCCCGAGGAGTTGCTGAGAGAACGCCTAGCTTCATGTATCCTCAGGGCACCTCGAGCAGTCAGATGGTACTTCGTGGCATGGACCTGCTGCTGGAGTGCATTGCCTCTGGAGTGTATGTAGTCTGCGCCGTCTTCTGTCCCTGTTCCTGGAGGATGGGTGGGCACCAGTCCACACATTTGGAGGCACACAGTACTCAGGGGAAGGGAAACGAGCAAACCCAGGACACTGTGTGTCTGTCACCTGCATCTCACTATGGCTGTCCCTGCTTTGGGGAAAGAGAAAAGGCAATGGCTGGGCATACTGATCACATGGAATCTTAGCCATGTCTTTCCATGGAGACCCTCTGGCCAAACAGCCTCCTCTGAATAGGAAAGCCCAGCTTTTAGAGGGTATGCACCTCCCTCCTGGGCCCAAGTCCCCTTTTAGGATAGCTGGGTGTCAGGCTCTCTGGAAGACAAGGGCTGCATCCAATAGCGGCCCTTTGTCTCCTGCTTGGTCCCTTTACTAGCCCAACACCAGACATTGCATGGTACAAGAAAGGTGGGGACCTCCCATCTGACAAGACCAAGTTTGAGAACTTTAACAAGGCTCTGCGTATCACCAATGTCTCTGAAGAAGACTCTGGGGAATATTTCTGTCTGGCCTCCAACAAGATGGGCAGCATCCGGCACACGATCTCGGTGAGAGTAAAGGGTACGTTGTGTGTATTTCTCATTATGATTATGTTGCCAGGCCTGAACACAAACGTGACAACCTTCCCTCTGTGGTGAGGGGGCAGAGGGAATGGGGGAGCATCCAGTGTGGCATGGTGGTGTCACCCCTGATTGTGTGACTATATGCACTCATGGGCATCTACGCTGGGGAAAGGACACGTGTCTTAATGTTTGCCCAGCTCTGAGAGCTCTCTGCAAGTGACATTCCTCCCAGAGACTTTCCTTCACTTTGCATTCCCATCTGTGATGTGTCTGTCTGTGTTGTATGCATGGCACCATGCTTCTTCTGAAAGATGGGAATCATCATGGACCAAGTCATGTTTAAGTCACTTCCCTCCCCTCCGAGCAGACACAGCCCACCTCAGCTGTTGCAGCTGTTGCCATACCAGAGCCCCTGTCGCTGTGGAGCCTGGCTATGTGATGGGCTGTATGAGTCACTTCCCAGCCCGGGATGCCGTGCAGACGGGAGGCTGAGGGCTGAGCACAACAACTTCCTCAGCATACAGCTGACTGATCTTATGACCTTGCCTTCAGCACTCTACACACACAAGTGCGTTCTCTTCCTTTTTGGTGAATAACAAGATGTTTGAGATTTTAATCCAAAAGTTTCTTTTCTCAGAAGAATCCACGTGTTCACAAAATTGTCCCAAGAACTGCTTTAACTAAAGTTCAGTGCCTAAAAGGAAACAGTTCATATCTTTCTTAGACCTCTGTTCTTATAACAATGGAATCCTAAAGGGTGCGACCAAAGACTCCATCAATGTCAATGTCCCTTGACAGCTCAGAGGCAGCAGCAGGTGTAAATGAGTGCCAGCACCCCATATTTTAAAAGCCTGTTGGGAAAAGCTAACAAGTCAACTCTGCTCCATGGGCTTGGCTAACCAGCAACCTGCAGACTGGGCTGAGCCATCACCCTGGGGTAAAAGAGAAGGGCTAGTAAGTGGGAGTCACCCTCACACAGGAGCCCACCTGGCTTCTCGTGCCTAGCCTGTGCCATCTACATCTGCCTGCCTTGTCTTTCAGCTGCTCCATACTGGCTGGACGAACCCAAAAACCTGATCCTGGCTCCTGGTGAAGACGGGAGGCTGGTATGCCGAGCCAATGGGAACCCAAAGCCAACTGTCCAGTGGATGGTGAATGGGGAGCCTTTGCAATGTGAGTCCTGCCTCATGTGTTCCCCCCGCCCTCTAGAGCTTTTGTTGGTGGTCGGATGTCCCCGAAGTGAAAGAAAGGGATGGCTCATTTGTGCTGCTTCCATCAGCCTTCCTCGGCAAGCAGCTCAGAGGTAGAGTACGCCTTCTGCATTGTTCTAAGAGAACGGGAGGATAAACAGCCTAGACCCTGTGGTTGTGTTCCCGTGTTTAGAGATTTCTGCTTCTTTATAGTGTTCTTAGCCTTTGCTTTGTGGCCAATAACTCTAGAGCCCAGTTTAGAGTCTGAGCCTTGCACTTCATCTCAGGTTTGAGCTTTAAGTGGTAGGTAGGACTTACAAGGTTGAAAAGCCTGTCTATTGTCATTAACCACTGATGGATCTGAGTCTGTGACAATGTGAAAGACTGTAGTTGGACATGAGGAAGAACTTCCCTGTTAAGTGTTTTGGGGAAAGTTTCTTTTTTTGCTGCACTTTTAGAGTTCCTTTTACTTCAGTTTACTTTTTTTAACTTTTGTGTTTTAATATTCTATTCGTCTTACATTTAACTACTTGCATTTTTGCATTTTTCATTGTCACTATTTTTTATTAGCCTTTTGTGTTCCCCTTTTTCTTTTTTGTTACATTTTTACTTGACTTTATCTTAGTTTTCAAATAAATGTGTGTGTGTGTGTGTGTGTGTGTTCGTGTTCACATATTTGCCTGTAGGTAAAGGCAGAGGACAACTTTGAGTGTTTCTCATCAGGAGCCATTATCTTGTTTTTTTGAGATAAGGTCTTTCACTGGCCTAGAATTTGCAGAGTAGAGTAGGCTGGCCAACCAGGGAGCCCTGGTGATGCACCCGTCTCTGCCTCTGTGGTCCTGGGATTATAAACGTATTCACGGTGTCTGGCTTTTTCACATGTGCTCCGAGATCAAAGCAAGAAATTTACTAGCCATGGAATCTCCTCAGCCACAAGCAAAGCCTTTTATGTTGTGTTTTATTCCCTTCCTTACATCTATCTCATTTTCTTTTCAGACTTTTTCATTGGTGATCTTTATTTAATCTCTTTTTCTTTCATTTTCCCCTTTACAACATTCTACGATACTCCTTTTTATTTTCTTATATCTAACCTTGCTTTCTTGTATTTTCCGTTTCCTTATCTCACTCATTTAATATTTTTGTATGTACTCTAAACAATTTTCAACTTCATAGCACATACTACATTATTGTACCATTTTCTGTTCTACAGCAATGTTATGTATCCATGGGCTTTTAGCCAATATTAAGTGTATTTCTATGCCAGGTGTTGGTGATGTTGTTGTCACAGCAATCTGTTATCTCCTCTCTGAATGGTACTGGGAACTGTCCCCTTGAAAGTTCAGTAGGAGCAGGGTGGTGGTGACACACACCTTTAATCCCAGCACTCAAGAGGCAGAGATAGGTGGGTCTCTGGGTTCGAGGCCAGCCTGCTCTGCAGAGTGAGTTCCAGGACAGCCAGGGTTGCACAGAGAAACCCTGTCTTGAGGAAACTAAAACAAACAAGCAAAGAGCCGGTAAGAAGACACAGACATGAAACTGGAGGAAGAACTCCCAAAATGGACACATGTATAAATCACAGCTCAGACGCACATGAAAAAGCCATGGCGTGACCCCAGCAAAGGGTCACGATTGCTCGGCTGCTGAACTCAAAGACGTGAAATTAGTAAGTGCCAGATGAAAATGCAAATGTGTGAAACTACCAGTGGCCTCGAAGAGGACTGCAACAAGCAGCTGTGTCAAGTGAGGAGATGAGTTCAGGACCAAGAGACATGGATGAGAAAGACAGAAAAGCACGGGGAGTCAGAAACATGGAAGAGCAAGGACAGTGGGAGCCGTTTAAAGAAGTAGAGATGCTGAAATGGAAAAAAACTCAACGAATCAAGTAAAATAACACAGTGGAAATCATCAACAGACTACACTAAGAGGATGAAAGACTATCAGGAATAGAAGTAAACATCAAGGAAATTGTCATCCTAAAATTAAAAAAAAAAAAACAACATGACAACAACTTCTTTAAACCCTGAGATACAATCAAGAGATGAACCTAAGAATCCAAGATGCAATAGAAAGGGCTGAGATTTAAAAAACCCTAATGGTGTAGAGAATCTATTCAATGAAATTAAAAGCTGTAAGGGAAAAATATCAACTGACAAATGCATCAGAATAGCATTAGACTTCTGTACAAATCCTAAAAATGACCAGGAAAGTGTAGGTTAATCTGTTTCCATCATTAAAAGTAAATTAGCTGTTAACTAAAATTGCTATATACATCAGATTACCTTTTAAAATCCATGGACAGCAGGCAACATGGCTCAGCCTGATGACTTGAATTTGATCTCACATGGTAGAAGGAGAGTACCAATTCCTACAAGTTTTCCTCTGACTTCCAGATACATGCATGGCACATGCGTACCCCCCCACACATACACTATATATATGTACGTATTAAAATAAAGTCACGGAGGAATAAGGACATTTCAAGACAAGCACAAATTAAAGCAATTCTTGACCACCAACCTATTCTGCAGAAATGCGTAAAGAAATCCTCAACAGGAAGAATGAACTAAGAGAAACCAGAAAAGAATATAGATTTCTCATATAGAGCAGATGAATAAGGAAGACTCATGTAAACTAGCAAACCCTTATTACAAATGGAGGAAAGAAAAAAAAGAAGCAAACAACAATTCCCTAACAAGAAAAATAACCACCAGTTAGCAAACCACTTAACTAATAACACTAAATGGAAATGGCCTCAACTCATCCATAAAAAAAAAAAATCACAGACTAATTAGCTGTATTTAAAAAAAATCCAACTCTCTGTTTTCTCCAAAAAAACACAGCTCGCTGACAAAGACACACTTAGGGTGAAAGCGAAAGATAGGAATTTGCTAAACAAATAGAAGCTGAAAACAAGCTGGTGTAGCTATTCCCAAAGCTGCATATGAAAATTGGTCAGGAAAGATGAAGGATGCCACTGCATACTAGTAAAGGGAACAGTTCATCAAGAAGAGAGAACAAACATATATATATATATATATATATATATATATATATATATATGTATATATTGAATGCTGGAGCTGCCAACTTCATAGAACAAGCACCATGAGTGTAAAACAACAGCTGGTTCCTGATACAGTGATGGATGATAATAATATCCCAGCTTATTAATAGATAGGCCATCTTGACCTAAAGTTGATAAAGAAACTTCAATCTTGGCAGGCATTTATAGAATGTTCCACTCAATAGTTGCAAAATACACATTCATTGCTGCAATCTGTGAAACTTTCACTAAAATAGATCACATTTTATGCCATAAGAAAGTATCCCAGCACTCGGGAGGCAGAGGCAGGCAGATCTCTGTGAGTTTGAGACCAGTCTGTTCTACAAAGCTACCCAGAGAAACCCCATCTGAAAAATCAAAAAAGGAAGGGAGGGAGGGAGGGAGGGAGGGAGGGAGGGAGGGAGGGAGGGAGGGAGGAAGGAAGGAAGGAGAAAAAGAAAAAAGAAATCTGGGAAGAAAAAATTTTTGAATTCTGAGAATCAAATAAACCAAAAGCACAATTTATCAGAACCTTTGAGATATAACAAAGGCTGTTCTAAGGGGAGCATTCATAGCTACAACTTCTTATACAGAAAGATCTCACCTAAATAACTCAAGGATGAACCTCAGGGTCTCAGAAAAACAAGAACAATCCAAACCCAAAAGTGGTAGATTGGGTGAAATAATAAAAGTCAGGGAAGAAACTCAATGAAACAAGAGTTAGTTCTTGAGAAAAATAAATGAGATTAACAAATTCTTATCCAAATGAACCAAAAGAAAGAAAGGATACCAAAATTAATAAAAGGAGACATTACCACAGGTTTCAATGAAATCTAGAGGATATTTAGGAAATGGCTTAGGAAAAACATATATAATTTGAAAGAGCTAGAAGAAATGGGTATGGTCTAGATGCATATAACCTCCCTAAATTAAATCAAAAGTGGATAGCAACTTAAACAGACCCCAAAGAAGAAGCAAGATTAAAAGCTTGGACCAGGCAAGATTCACTGCAGAATTCCACCAGACCTTTAAGGAAGTGCTAACGCCAGGGTTCCTCAATCTGTTCATGAATTCAAAACAGGGGGGACACTATCAGACTCATTCTGTGAGGACAACACTACTTTCATATCAGACTTGAAAAAGATTCTCTCTCTCTTTCTCTCTCTCTCTCTCTCTCTCTCTCTCTCTCTCTCTCTCTCTCTCTCTCACTATGAAACTGGGCTTGGGCCTGAAACAGGAGGATAGCTGTGGGTTTAAGCCTAGCCTGGGCTACTTGGTGAATTTCAGGCTATCTTGGGCTATGGAACGAGACTTTTTCTCAACAAGAAAAATATAGAGGTGTTGGGGAAGTCCTGTTATTTACCTGTGCATTTGTCAATAAAGTACTGTCTGGCCAATAGAAAACCTAGATAGGAGGGACTAGGAGTCGAGGAGGATTCTGGGAAGGGGAAACACAAGAGAGTCAACATGTAACGCCATTGGGGGTAGGAAGCCTGGAACTATTCTCCGGTAAGAGACATACTTAGATTAACAATTATGGGGTAATTACTTAAAGCAGAGCTAGCCAGTAAGAGACAAACAAGGCCAACAGCTTCATAATGAATATAGCCTCCTGTGTGTTTATTTGGGACTCATGCGGATCTAGAACCAGGCTGGCGCAGCAGAGCCCAGGCGACTGGCGGGGGATAACCAAAGCGGCTAGCAAAAGAAAAAGCTTCTCTTAACATAGAGGGATATCAATTTCCCTGATAAACATAGATGAAAAAAATTATCAGTAAAACAGTTACAAGCTAAATTCAAGAATACATTAAAAAGATCACACATCATAACCAAGTTGGTTTCGTTCCAGGGATGTGGAAAGTTGACTCAACGTGTATAAATTAATGGCTGTAATACAGAAGATAAATAGACATATGGATGGGAGTCACAGGTCACCTCGC